TTTTTTTTTTTTTTTTTTTTTTTTTTTTTTGCTTGCTTTGTAAGCACACTTGAAATCTTATTCTAAAACTAATTACTGTAAAATATTTTATTTTAGCTGCTGGATTTTATTTTCATTGAATTATCTCTTCAGAGGAAATATCAAAAATAAAATCTGAGGAAAAATAAAGTATTTTACAGTATAGTATTGCATCCGTTTATACTGTAAAGTATTTTACAGTATAGTATTGCATCAGTCTGAGGAAAAATAAAGTATTTTACAGTATAGTATTGCATCAGTTTGACTGACAAATTTTCCAATAAAAAGAAAAATATATATATTATACTGTTATTGAAGCCATATTGCAATATTCAATAATGAATAGACCAGTTTTGCTGTGGTTGATTTGCCAAGAGTGTCATTTTATGCATTTGTCTTTGTAATTTCATTCTTGAGAAAAAAACGACTACCAATAAATAATTTGAGTATTAATGCTTTGTTTGCTGGCACTATTATATACCCATATATCAGCTACTTAGTGTCTATGGAGACTTTCAGTGGGCAATGATTCTAGCAAGTTAGTGAAAGAGTCCTTTTAATTAAACTGATTCTATCTAGAAATATTATACATGCTTTAATACAGACAATGATTCGTAAGTAACAATCAAAGAAAATAAAAAATGAATTGATTAAAAAATGTTTGTATTTCCACAGATGATAATATATCTTTACAGTGATACTAATTATGCTTTAGATGGTGTAGATGCTAACTTTTACATCCAAAATTGTACTAATGATTGTAATGGAAAAGGTACGTGTAAAGACTACCAGTGTGACTGTCAAAGAGGCTGGAAAGGTGACGCCTGTCAGTTTGAAAGCTGTCCTGGCAATTGTGGTTACGATGAAAACAGAGGACAGTGTCTTTTTGTAAGTATTTTACACTTTACTAGGAGGTCAGAATTGAAGAACAAACTTTACTTGAGGCATACAGAGGGTTTACTAGGAAGTCATACTACAGTGGTGTGTGTCAGTTTAGTACTTTATACCATAAAATCTGTATTAGAAGCTGCATCCTTAATAGAAGGCACACCCATTTTTTTTGAATAATTGAGAACCAAAAATTCACCATTTCTCATATATGTAGATACTCTACTAGGAGCTGCATCAGCATGATCCCCTCTGTTGCATTGTACCATTTTCATAGAAGTCGCGGCTTCTAATACAGATTTTACAGTACTTACTGTATAACATGTGTTTTTAGCTATCATGTTATTTTAGGTAATTTAGCTAATCTGTAATTACAGTAATTCAAGATGTCACTAATATAAAATAAAGCATATTCTCACAATGAGATTATTGGCAATTTAGCTAAATTGAGATTCAGTTAATTCATGCATTGAGTCAAATTATCTAAAATGGCATGTAGCTATTTAAACATGTTTTACAGTATTTTAAAGTACATGCCTCTGTCCATTTATCTTTTAGATCACACCTATGAAATGTGACTGTTCTGATGGATATGTTGGTGAAGGATGTGATTTACCAGTCTCTGATAACACAGGATGGAGTAATACATATTCTCTGTCTAGTGGTGATCACTTTAAAGCTAGAACAAAACATGCTGGTGTGTATCTCCAGTCAACCAATAAATTCTGGGTTTTTGGTGGTAAGTACTTTTATCTCATATTCAATTTTCT